TGTGTGTGTGTGTGTGTGTGTGTGTGGGTTGCTTTCATTCATTGGGGCAGGACTCAGAGAGAAGGATGGATAGAGAGGAAAGGAGAAGGCGGGGGCTCAGAAGAGGGGGAGTGGGTTAGTCAATTACGTGAGATAAAAGTCGGTTTGACCTTCAGCACTCCTTCCACCCCCGCCGATTCGCCTCCTGTGCCCCTCCTTCTCCTCTCCCTCCTTCCTCCTCCCCTCCCCACGGCGAATCAGTGAGCTTGGATTCCCGCAGCTACTGTCTGAGGAGGCAATAATGATGTTTTGGAACACAAAGGCATTTCACGCTCAGACGAGCGCCTGATTTGGTGTGAAAGAGAGAGCAGGGCTGCCAGCCAAACTCTCTCTCCCTCTCCCTCACCCTCTTCTCTCCTTCTCTCCTCCCCTTCTCTCCTTAAACCGCCTCACTCTCTCACAAGACCTGACAGTGCAGGCAGCAGCTGGGGCTCTCAGCTCTCTCCCCCCACTCCTCTGTCATTCCTTCTTTTCTTCTCCCACCACATCCTCAGAGCTCTGGGCTGTGATCCCAGCTGTCAGTATTGTTCAGTGTTTGACCTCAGAGGGAGGAGGGTGTGTGTGAGGCAGTGTGTTGGGGGAGAGGATGTGTTCACTGCCTTGTAGACTGCAGCAGCTTGTTGAGATGGTGTAAACTCAGACACTGAAGAAACTGTCCCATCTGTTGAAGCCTTCAATGGGGCCAGAAATCTCTTTTGATTGGGTTACAGAGTGTTATTGATTTTTTTTAACCTATTGATCACTCTGTTTCATTCTCTGACACTTGGGTTTTGGGAGTCAGGTGTCATTGCTTTGCACATTTCAGGCAGCTAGAGGGTTGGAAACTGCGGTCGACAGCACACATTTAATGACCGTGATGCTCATGCATTAGTGCAATGTCTACGGAGAGACAGAAGGACAAGTCTTCCTCAGTTGAATGAGGATGTTGATGTAGGGCGTGATTAGCCTTTGTCAGCAAGAACAGTCTATTGACAATTACCTAGAGAGGTATAGTAGGGTTGCAGTGCATAAAACCCTCTCTCCGTTACAAACATGAATATGCATTTGAAAGTTGAGTGGTGCAAAAACCACAGACACCGGTCTACAGAGACGTGAAAAAGCTGATATGGTTAGAAAAGCTATTCTTCATCATATTCTCGACAAGTGTCTGGTTCTTAGAGAACACTTTAATCCTGTAATGAAACATTTGTACAACTAACCAATCCTACTAACTTTAATAGTTTGAAAATTATGAATTAGTTTGGCAGCACATTCCAAATAGACGTGTTCCACAGCTAACCTGTTGTGAATATTTACTTGTCATTTTATATGAAACTGCCCCGTTTCAGTGAGAATTTACCCATTTATGTTGTGTTTGCAGTAGATTTCCAGCTTGAGACTAAAAGCACCTGGAAAGGGCTGAACTGGGTTTTACAGCATCCCTCGGTGTCATGAATCCTCATTCTTAACTAACCACCTCTCTCTCTTCTCTCTGTGTTAAAACAGCAGCATCTATCCCATAACCATGGTGGTGCCCCTGTGCCCATGACCCCTCACCCTGCCGGCCTCCACCCCTCTCAGCTGGGCGGTTCGGCTGGCCTCCTGGCTCTGTCAGGAGCACTTGGTGGTCTTCCTCCACATCTGGCTGGAAAAGATGGTGATAAAAAGCCTCACCTGGCCGGACCAGATTCCCACCCTGGAGGACCCGAGCACCTGAGAGGTAAACACACACACACACCCACACAAAAACACAGCTTTGAATAGATTATCATGTCATTCAACTTTCACTGTGTATTGCTGAGAAATGCTTAATTTTATTCTGTCCTTTTTCGAATGGTAACCAAAATTGTTTGTTCACTCCCTAAAGTTTATTTTTTTTTGTTATAAATACAATTAAATACACAAGACTACACATATCCAATTTATTCTCCTTTCCTTCTTTTTCTTTTTGATTTTCTTCTCCGCTGAACACCCAACCCTGTGACCTCAACCACGTTTCCAATGGCATTAGAGAGAGAGCCTGGAACTGTAAGTACTTCCTCTTTCTGTGGCAATGTTTACTGTTCTGACAAACTGCTCAGTTTACTTGCTCATATTCTCAACAGAGATCATTTGGTTTGGGGGAATTTGACTTTGTTCTTAGTTGTACTCTGCTGCAGTTTACTTAACCTCACCAGTGAGATTAGTCTGTCTTACCTCCGTTGATGGACATCTGCAGGATCATTAAGCTCCCTTCCAATTCCAAGAAAATTTAAACTACCTTTAATCCATTAAGACCTCGGGTGCCCCTGAAAAGCGTTATAAAACCTGAACGTTTTCTGAAAACAACCTGCTAAAACCTCTAAAAAACCTTTATTTATGAGCCTCTGAAGTGATAGAAAAATGAAATAAAAACAATTTGAGAACTTTAACATTTGGCTTTGAATGTAAATCATTACTTTTGCCATGCAAACAGATATGGCTGGAAATACATTTTCATTTCATTTTTTGATTGAGTTTTTCTAAAGGAAATTATTTATAATAACGATCGTTATGCAACTGGATTGCTTTGCCAGGCTGATCAATCTTTACCTCTAGTTCTCGGTATACTGGCTCTTCCTCGCCAACCATTCATATCCAGTTGAAGTGATGTGTTTTATCTGATCCTAATGGATTTTTATGTAATTGTTTGGATTTGTGCCTAGTAAATGATCTACCCATGATTATGTTGAAAAAATACTTAAAAAGAAACATTTATTATTTTCTCTAGAATTTTGTAAAATACAGTTTCTAGAAAAGCACATTTGTCCAACATGAAAAAGATTTGGATCTCATAACTTCAGGGACGCTCATTTAAAAAAATTATTTTGATTGCATTCGTTTTCAAATTCTTTGCTTCTATTGTGACATAATTTGCCCCCAGATCAATGGTTTATGTCACCGTGTTTTATTTTAATCAAAAGTTTTCTTACATTGTTGCACACTCAAATAGCTTTCATCGTTAAATGTGTATTTTTGACTGTCAGTGTGTGTGCGTGTGTGTGTTTGTGTACTTAGTGATCTCTCGGGGAGAGCTTTGGCCTGCCTGTTTAGTCCTGCCCCAGATCTGCTCTGAACTGTTAGGTTTCCTTTCTTCTCCAAATGAGCTTTTTAGCGTGGTCACACACATGCACACTCGCACATACACATGTACACATATATTCACATACGCTCACATACACGCACATGCACGCTCCTCCTACCCAGCCTGCATTGTTGTGCCTATTTAACACCTCAGTGAGCAGATTACCCCCCTCTCCACCCTCTTCCCACCGCCCCTGATCCCGCGCTTAAAGACTCTCATTGTGTTTAATATCAGCACCACTGAGAGGGGAGGGCTTGGGAAAGGGGTGGGGGGTGAGGGAGCAGCAGTCATATGACACTGAGCTTGTGTGTGTGTGTTTGAGAGAAAGACTATGCGAGCAGGGGAGGCATGGAGGGGGGAAATTGCTTATGTTTTGCGGGTCAGTGCTCCTGTGCTCAGCTCACTAAAACCTTTCAGTAAAAGAGGAGGTGGGAGGGAGGGTGAGAGGGAAGAAGAGGGGAGGGCGTGAAGGAAGGGGGCCATTGTCAGAATACAGATTTTCACCCCCCCACACACACACTCCTCTCTTTCCCTCTCTCTTCTCCCGTTGCCCTTTCTTCTCCTCCACACTCTCACACCCTCCCCTCATCCTCTGTCCTCTAAGCTCATCCCCTCCCTTTCCCCATTTTTTTCTCACCCTCCTCCCATGCTCCTCCTCTCGTAGCTATTCCTCCTTCATTTACCCTTTCCCCCCTCAAAGCCCACTCCCGTGGTAGATGGTGTGCACGCGCATGTGTGTTTGTGTATGTTGTATGCACATTTCATTGACAGGCTGAGACTATAATGGACTCAACATGAAGCTTTAATCCATTAACAATAGGATCCGTTGGTCAGGAGGCCAGAGGGGGGCCAGCTGTGTGTGTGTGTGTGTGTGTGTGTGTGTGTGTGTGTGTGTGTG